TTTTTTTTTTTGTTATATGTTTTTCCTTTTATTCGCCGTATTTTCGTATTTTTTTAGCAATAAAATGAGACTGACAGTTATATATAATGGTTATTTTTTGATTGAAAAGGTTGTAATGACTATCACTTATATTTTAGTAAATTTAGATAGGAAACTGTTGAGAAGGTTTTTCTGGTGGACAGCAGAATAATTAGGTCGATTGAATTCAATTACGAATACAATTTGAATGCAATAGTTTGCACTTAGTATAGAAATTACTCTACATTTTAAATAATCTGGTTATCTATTTTTGATAAAACTAGAAAAACTAAAAAAGAAATCAACAAATTTTCTTTTTTTTTTACTTTTATTGCCACAAAACTGATTGATACGAGAAGACAGCAAACCGCAGAAAAAGTCACAAAAAATGTGTTTCAGATACTTATTTCTGCATAACTAATTGGAGTTGTTCCATGGGATATCATAAACACTGAGCACTATAAAGTTATGCTGAACAATGCAAAAGAGATATATTCAAATGACAGTTGAAAATCGCTGCCGTATTAAACAGACCATATTTTTTTTTTTTTTTTTTGGCTACTCAGTTGGATACAGAAAGTATATTTTTTATGATCAAAACTTTGAGGAGAATATAGAAAAGAGTTCTAAGGATTAATTAATTAACAAGTCGTTTATAACTGGACATAAACAGCATTTTCGTTAGTTATCTGCTATTTGATACTATATAGCAGCTATATTTTCGGAATGAATGACATCATTTTACATTTTCATAAAGTATTATCAAAGGCATTTTCAAGATGTTTTACTGTTTATTTTTTTTATAAACTGATAAAGCTGTAGTGATAATTTGCTTAAATTAACAAAGTGATTAATTAAACATACTGTTTTCTGGTTTGATATTTCTGTTTATTACAAATTTATCTGTTTTAGAACACTGATTTTACTTGGTTATACTTTTGTTCAGCACTGTTTTTCTTAGAACATTGTACAGGAAAATTGGCAGCATCAAATTTAGTTGCCGATTGGAACAATAGTTCAGCTATCGTTTGGCTTATTTCAGTTGAGATGTTTAAATTTGGTTTGAAAAAAAAAAAAA